TTTGCCAACGGTTGTTCACTAACAGGCAGGTAAAATACAAAAAAATTTTGAGGATCAAAATTACAGCAAAAAACTCTCAGGAAACAGCTGTGGCATTAGATTAGTACTCGCAAAGTACTCTAAAAGTTTGTTTGCTTTCGCCGTTGCCCTTTATGATCGAACCAGCCTCCCATGTGAGGCGTACAAACACTTCTGTTAATCAAGTTTTTAAGCGTCTGAAACATCCGTAAACTTGAAAACTGGTTGCTGCTGCCACAACAGTACAGAGTCGGGCCTTAGCGTACTTCGGCCGCTAGTTTCGAATAATTCGCTCGATCTCACGACACAATAATTTGTTCATGAACAGGCTGTTTTGAACTTGAGACGGCAATAAGTAAATATAGGCCCGAAATTAGGATACGTTCAATGCTTCAGCTAGCCATTTTACTGTCCAGTGGGTAATTAGAGTAGAATTTAAAAAATAAACGGGAGAGAATAGGGTGGCAGCAGTGCTGAGAAACATCGCTGTGGCTGTCGGCATTTAAAATACATCTGGGACGCCATTTCAGACAGACTCGGAGTCATGAATTTGGTCTCTTTTGCTACACTAGCATTATTTACTCCCCGTTAGCAACAGCAGTGTATGTGCGAACGTATGTCATAAATTAAATTATAAATATGGAGTCACCCATTGATGTTTCATCGATGTTTAATTTCCAAGATGTTACAAAATACAAAATTTCGATTAAATGATGTTAAACTTCCAGGCTATCACAAAGAACGACACAGTAATATGCCTGGACAATATCCTTATACTTTAAGGTTTCTAAATTATAGATGGCTGACTCGATTGATTAATGATATGGCAAGTGTTCAGGCGATGGTTTCACTGGTTTAATATTTTTCATTCAGTTCGCCATCTGGGCCACTCTTCTGGTGATTGATGACGAGCCTAATAACCAGATCTATTGCTCAAATCCATTCACAATATCAAACTTGACGGGACGAGGTTGTAGTCGCAATTACTTGCTTTATGGTTTCTATTTTTTGTTTTTTGTTACTTCCACGGATTGATTACAAGAATATTTCGATGGATATAAGAGGCCGTGTTTTGCTGATCCATGGTTCATTTCCGTAGGATGAAGCATTGCTCCGTAGCACGGAAGAAAACCCTGTGTGGCAGCGCCAGAGCCCACTAATGAGAACTCTGCGCTGGTCAAGTCTCACAGAGTCGTCACGTGGAACTCCACTCCGCCAAACTGAAGGGCAAGCAGACATTTTGTTCAAGACGTCTTGCAAGCGCGTACAGTAACCAAGGCCATTTGCCAAAATCCAATGGTATAAAAAACAAATGCAAAAATGTCCAGCAATCCCCTGCGTGCAGCTCGAGTTCGACTGCGTCGCACGACTGACCGATGACCTATGGGTTTCAGCAGTGACGAATTGACACCCAAGGTGCTGCAAACGCCCATTTACGAGACCTCGGCTGAAATGAGGTGGCAACAGAGAAATATGGTGAAAAATCGCACGAGACTTGGCAACGACGATCTCCGTTAATTACAATTAAGAATCAGTCGGTTGTGCTTTGCCGATCTTTGCCAGGTCATTGGTTTGTAACATTGCATGCAATATATGATTCAAGCACATCAGAGCAATCAATCGGCAAAAAGCACTTCTTGAGTCTGAATCATCGATTCGGCATTATATTAGTTTTTATATATCGGAAAGTCGGGATCAATCTTGATCTTCATTCATGACTACCTTATTGTTTGTGTTTGTATGTACAGTAAGAATGCAAGAATCGACCGTCAGAACAATGGAATAGTTTAAACATACACCTTTCGTCCAACCACGTCAGAGTAGGCATTCGAACGTGCTGGTTTTGGTAAACTCTGACTTCGCGTGAAGTTTTCAGTAAAAATTTTTTCTCTGCCCAAAAACATCATCGGCGAATGACCGACAATTCTTCCCGCCTTAGAACCCGTTCTAATTCATCATTCTGTCGAATCAGCAAGCACAGAATTTTCAACGGTTGATCAAGTATGAAATCCTGGCATCATCTTCGGACACTTGTCTGTCGGTTTCAATGAAAACGTCGTTTTACGTTGGTAACAGTCACACGTTTTGGGTCATTTTGAATATCGCCCAAAAAGAGGATACGAAACTGCACTATTAACGACCTTGGCTACTGACGATTTCGAAGCCGACAGCCGGTAAGAATCCGCTTTCTACGTTGTTATTAAGGACGTCTTGTATCTGACTCGAACGGTTCCAGCAAATGGACCATAAACCGCTCAGATTCTTGAGTACCGGTCCTCCGAGCAGAACCGACGCCCTGCAGGAAAGATTGGCCAAATTTAAGTACGTGGCTAGGCCAAAGGAGGCTCCATTCGCGTGAAATCCAAAATGCACAGTTTATCTCATTGAAAAAGGCAGTTCTAAATATTAGCTTTTATACCAGGTATGAAACCATCCTCAACAACGTGCTTTATAGTTAACAGTATGCTTTTTACGACAAACTGGGAGCAGATTCCCTGCTCTTCTCCGCCAGCCGTACTTCATCAGTTATTCCGTACGCATTGTAACATTTGCTTATTGAGATTTCTATCGCCGTTGACACTCGATAACGCTCCTGTCGATTGAGAGGATGCGATTAAGCCGCTATGACAATGAAGTCCCATCATGTTCTGTGGGAATCTCTGCTGATACAACGCTACAGCATGTCAGATGCAGTCATGCAGTTAGTTTCCATTTAGCAACCCTCACTTTGTAGGTACTTCATTGTACCTGAGAGGCATAGCATCTGAAAGAATTTGCCCATATTTCGATAGCCCACATTTTATCCTCAACGTTGAATTCAAAGCTGTTTTGTAGCCTAGTTACAGAAACCATCCCACGCACTTAGTTTCTACCATGGCTAAAAAAAACCCAATCTGTCATCAATGCAGATGAAACCTGTCAACGATTCAAAAAGCAAATTACATAAGAATGTCAAGTAATAAGGATGCTGTGTAGTTTCTTCATAGGAGACTACGAAATCCGCAAAAGACTCCCTCA